GTAGGAGAAGGATCCGGGTACTGAAATGGCCAGTCTGCAGTCCAGATCTTTCACCTATAGAGAACATATGGCTTATCATAAAGAGGAAGGTGCGACAAAGAAGGCCCAAGACGATTGAACAGTTAGAGGCCTGTATTAGATAAGAATGGGAGAGCGTTCCTATTTCTAAACTTGAGAAACTGGTGTCCTCGGTCCCCAGACGTCTGTTGAGTGTTGTAAGAAGAAGGGAAGATGCCACACAGTGGTGAAAATGGCCTTGTCCCAACTTTTTTGGGATTTGTTGACACCATGAAATTTTGAATCACCATATTTTTCCCTTAAAATTATAACTTTTCTGCAGTTTAAACATTTGTTCCGTGATTTATGTTCTATTCTGAATAAAGTATTGACATTTGCCATCTCCACATCATTGCATTCAGTTTTTATTCACAATTTGTTTGGTGTCCCAACTTTTTTGGAATCCGGTTTGTACTTCTAGGCTGGACTACTGTAATTTTAAAACCAGACAGAAGGCTTTTTATTAAAAGTTAAAATAATTAATTGTTGTCTGAAAATAATATTGACATGAAGGCTATATGCATTTCCAGGAGCTGGAGCCGGTAACTTCTTTTTCTCTTTAATCTTGAAAAGTGCATGACACACTGGAAGAGAGAAAAGACCATTGGTGAAAATATCAATTCTGGGGATCTGGAACATGAAAAGTAGAATATCTAAACAAATGTAACCAGCTAACCTCAAACACCGGTCATACTTTCCATATCTCCGGTGTTTTTCACCACTGGTTTGTACACACATACATAAACATCCACTTCAAATTTGCCTACAGGATGATGCTGTGATACATTATTTTGAGACATACGATTCTAATCTGATGTTACAGTCTTAGCAAATTTACAGCAAATGAAATGAAGAACAAATTCCAAGTTTTTTTATTTTATTTTATGGAATTTTGTTTTGACGGTTTGCACTGTTTCTTAACTTAAAATGTCCTGTTGTAATTGGAGTGCCAAACTACAACAACACTTCCCTCATGGTGCTTTATATTGTCAGGTCAAGACAATAATGCACAAAAACTCCAAACCCTATGAGCAAGCACTTTGGCAACAGTGGGAAGGAAAAACTCCCTTTAAAAAGAGGGAAACCTCTGGCAGAACCAGGCTCCGGGACGGGGTGGCGATCTGCAGCGGCCAGTTGGTGATTAGGGAAGGAAGATGGTTTTAAAATTAAATTTAGGAATTAAATTTTCTTCCTCCAGGACTTTTTTGTCCTCCTCCAGATTCTCTCTCTGTGTTTTCTCATTCCACAGAGTTTCTTTCAAAGAAGCCTCATGTTTCTGAAGCTTTGCGAGCTCAGCAGACAGACTGTCCTTCTCCTGTTTCAGGATCAGGATTTCACTGTCCCTCTGCTGAAGCTGCTCTTTAAGACGGTTCATCTCAAGGTCAAAGTTTCTGGTCTTTTCCTGATATGAACAAGTCTGTTCCTCTTCACGTGACACTGAGTTGTCAGTGAGTTCTCCAGCTTGGATCTCACACTGGTCCAGCTTAGTGCGCATCAGTGAAATTTGGGCCATAAGCTGTTTGATTTGCTGTCTGGCTGTCTATACATCCTCTTTTAAAAGTTGATTTTCAGACGCAGTGGTTAGGAAGGCTTTCCTAACCTGAATAAGGTCGTCCAGTGTACTCTTAGGCAGAGTGCACACAAATTGTGGTTTCTCGTGTTTCTGAAGCTGTGCAAGCTCGGCAGACAGACTGTCCTTCTTCTGTTTCAGGATCAGGATTTTGCTGTCCCTCTGCTGAAGCTGCTCTTTCAGGCAGTTCCTTCCTTCCTTACTCACTATACACCACTACGTAGTTATCATTCATATCTGACTCTCTTCCACAGTTTACACTATAATCTTTCATTTAATATAGTGCAACAAGGTAATTTTCTTTTATAATATTCATTTTATTTGAAAGATTACTTAACAGGGACTGTACACATTAATAAGCTATAATTTACATATTATCCAATGTTTTCCTTTTATGATGCAGTCCCAATTTGATATTTTAAAGTCCCAAAATATAGATCTGTAATGACAAAACTCTGAACATTTATAAACATTTGGAACAATAATATAAAGGAAATACTATAGATACTGACTATTGACAGAAAGTAAACATGAGGTAGTTTTGCTATAGAAGATGGTAAACAAAATAAACGAGAGATATTAACCTCCTAACACCAGAGCACTGATTTTGTATTCATTAATTCTGCTAAATCTTCAGCATCTGATAATACTTTATTTTTTTCAAGAAAGTGATTAGTGCATTTTTACTACATGTCATAAAGATTTAGACATAAAGGGTAATGAGACTGAAATTGACTAGTCCTTTTACTAAGAGAAATTTAATATCACAGGATTGCATACCTGATCAAATTCCGATGACTAAGGTGAAATATAATCTCTATCTCCAAGTTGGTTGTTCTACACAAGGTTAGTTAACCTCCACCTTTGAGTTACCTCTTTTTTCTTTTTTTTTTTAAACAAATCTTCAGCGCTTGACAGAGAAACGGACTCTGAAATCTGTCAGATAAAATAAAGTCCAATTTAAATCATCTAAATGTTGTGAAATTCTTTCTAAGCTCTTTTTTCTTCAAATTTTTTATAAAATAAAATTTGACATAAAACTTGCACTTTCCTCCCGGTCATTGCAGCGGAATACTAATTAGGCTGTCGTGCTTCTGTTACCACTAGATGGTGCAAAAAAGCACATATTAATGACACTAATGAGACATTAATAATATATATATATTTATTTTTTTTTGTGTGTGGTACTGCATCTTCCACCATCACTGGACCTCAGTTTGCTTCTTTCTCTCTTGTCTCTATGTCACTGTGTACCTTCCCCATGTGAGCCTCTCATTTTTGTTTTACTTTACTTCTCTCCCCTTTGGGTTTAATTAAATAGCTTAAAACACATGCTAACCATTACTCTAATTTAGGTGATTTTTGTAAGATTGAGCGAGCCTGTGGAAGCACAGTATAAACAAGATGGCTGGAAGTCTGACCAAATGCAGACAGAAAATACAAGGCATCTAATATTCCAGCTTTCCTGAAATGTTGTGCAAAAGTTTTGTAATTTATGCTGAGGAAAAAACAACAACAAAAACCCCCAGAACAGACAAATTATGTAAAAACATTTATTATTGAAGTTGTTTTATATTCAGCAGTGCGTTTTACCAGTCTTGTGGTTTTCTTATAATACAGAATCCTTGCATTAACACCTGGGTTTTGATTTAAGGTACAAAAAAAATCTCAGCAGTGACTTTTGTAGGTTCACGTGGTGCACATATAACATTATGTGTACGTGCACACTTTGAATTTGAGATGGCATTTTTTATCATTTATATAGCTTTTATGAATCAGAGTATTATTAACAAGCTCAAGCAAGGAAGCAGTTTTCTCCTTTAGCAGAGTGTCCACCAGGAAGAGAAAAAACAGTAATGGAAAAAAGAAGCAGATATGCTCGTGGAAAAAGTGCATGGATATAAAAACAGTACAGCTCTTGTGAGGAATGTGAGGCTGATGAAAACATTTTTGGTCAACAGAAACATGATGTTCACAGGTGATGACTTCATGCCAGGATATTGTTCCTATTACACATAAACAGTATATACAAGTTTCAAGTAACTCCTGAATTAGTCCTGTTATACCCATCTCGAGCTAAAGAAAGTCTACTTGATGCGCACACAGCGTGGTGTCATCTAATATTTCATAAGTGACCTCTTACTGCTGAGAGTGTGGAAGTTTGAGTGGAAAGTTAAAAGTGAGATGTAGTTCAAAGAAACATTTCACGAACAGTCGCAACCTGAGAAGTCAAAGTAGAAAGTTTTGTGCAAACCTTTTGCTAAACCTTCCTCGCACCTCATTGGACTGCTCGAAGAAGATGCCGCTGTGAACATCACACATTTAAAAAAAAAAAAAAGTAAAACCATTGTACGCCATGATGTAAATCTCTCTGTCACAAAGCCAAACCTGAGCCAGTAACCATTATGTCTACTATCGATACTTTAAGCACTGCATGTGTTAGTCTTTGGCATGGTTAAGCATCAGTGAAACCAAGTATGTTAAGCAGACATCTGTAGGAGCAGGTCAAGGCCTTAATAGCCATGACTGGCAATAATATCACGGTCCATTTACAGCACAACCGCAGCTTTGCTTACTCCAAAATATCAAAACAGTTAGAACTTCCTGTCAAGAAAATAAAGTGATCACAAAAACTAGCAACAGAAACTGAACCGTATCAAAACAAGATCATAGAATAAAACAGTAAAGCAATATCGCACTGATAAAGTATACATTTTATACGAGGGGCGAGCCAACAGCTACTGCAGGGTGTTTCAAATCAAACCATAGACTGTACATGTAGATGGACACAGTGAAGAAAGAACCATAAACGTGAATCCTTTTTAATGACCAGCAGGGGGCGACCCCTCCATTTTCGAAAACATCTGATTATATAGAAGCCTATGAGGAAAATGACCTTACTGCCTACGGGAGCTGAAGTTTGTGGCCTCAATGGCTATGTTAACATCCTATTTAATAAAACACAATTTTTAATTTAGTAAATTTGCATCAAAAATGAATATAAAATAAGGATACAACTTAAGGTGGACCCTCCTTGTGACTAGCCAGTTTTCAGGTTTTAAAAAATATGAGACTGCATAAAACAATAGGTAATGTTGCAGTGGCTATATCCATCTTTGATATACAGTCTGAGTGGGGCTGACAGTACAGTACCAGCACTGGCTAAGAGACCTGGTGCACTTTTTGCACGCCTTGTTAGCCACTCCAACTCAGCAGTACTTCTGGCTTTACAAGGCAGCTCTAATAAACAACACCTGCTCATGTAAACTGTTGCCAAGCGCGCTGCACAACACTGCACAACAGCCCTTGTTTTCACAATGCTAACATTCAGCTGTATAGTCAGGCATTCAGGTCAGCAGTCTGGTATTCATCACTAAACTTCAGAGCTCTCTGTATCGCTCTGATGAGTGCTTAATCAATACAGGAATTCCACAAGACGCTTCAGCCTCAATAGCAAGCTATCAGGACACAAAGGTCACCATTAGTTACTGTCTTTATAGAGCTGTTATTGATGTTGTTGGTACTTGTTGGTAGCTCACATAATTGTAGAATTGTAAAAACGGGAAACAAAGCAAGTAAAAAGTGGGGAAAGAATGTAAAGGCTCAAAAAAAGGGGGAGCAGCTGAAATGAATGACTAAAAACTAAGATTTACAGCTTCAATAACAACATAATAATAAACATATAAGTATGAACATGTGTACGGAGAGGGCAATTCCAGTTATTTCCCTTCTTCTCAGATGTATGTTCAGGTTTAGCATGCCTTGCCCCGCAGTTTGGCACAAGACTAAAGTTTCCACACAGTGAGATGAGAAAGACCAGGGCATTGGCTGAAATTATTCCACACAATGAGATGAAAAACAGGATTGGCTGGGAGACTGGTGTCGTGGCGTCCCTACACATCCCCTTCCACTCGCCTCCTGCGAACTGGAGAGGAAAAGCACAATAAAACGAGAGGTGAAAGACTTAAAGAACACACGAATAAAACCAACTGTAAACATGCTACACAATCTTAACCCTACGCAGGCTTGTTAGTTCATCATGAAGACACTGAGTGAGTCATCATGAGCTGTGTGGTTAAAATGTACACCTATTTATACAGTGTGTGTCAGCATGTGCAGAAAACAAGAAGTGAGATGTCGTCACTCTCAAAGCTGCATATCACGCAGTGTCAATGTTCACACGGTTAATATGGTGAACGCTCCATTCAAATACTGCGAAACTAATCTCCGTTATCACTGATGCACTGACACACGTGGGAGCCACACCCATGCATCACACCTGTGCTACCACGACTCTGTCTGGAGGAGGAGCTAAAAGAGAGAGCAGAGGTCGTCACTGCGGAGTGAGATATTGAACAGATGTTTCAACTATGTCATCACACTCCCATAAAACAGATGACTAGAGGAAGGCGGGGGAGGGGGGGGAGCGGAAACGGCTCGCCCGACTTTTGCGAGTTTAAACAAATCTCAGAGTGTCGAGTCTGTGCGTGCTGCGTTCATACCCAGGTCGTTGTTCTTGGTGATAGCTGCGGCAGCTCTGGATCGGGGCCCTTGCTGGGTGAAGTGGTAGCCAAATTTCACTATGCTCTTGTTCTCTTCCAACATTTTAGCAATCTCCATTTCTACGGTAGTACCCAGCTGTTGTCTCTACAGTACGCACAAATAGATACAGTTCATTAGAGAAAAAAATACAACAGCTTGTTCAGCTAAACCAAAATTACAGGTGTGAAATTTCCCCTTCCTCCTTTTCCATTACTGGAACTTCTGAGCTAATTGTTACTGTACCTGGTTGTCTATTTTGATCTCTGTGAGCATGTCATTGTCTCGCAATGCATCAACCAAAGCCTGCACTCCTGCCCCGGTGATGAAGTTGGACTCCAAATTCAAACTTCGCAATGTTTTGTTTTCCCGCAGCATGTCGCTGAACGCCTGGGAGGAAGAAGGCAAAGATGTGAGTGTGAAGTTCTCAGGTGTCTGCAAAAGCCACGAGAAGCATATCAACCACTCACCACAGCGACTGGGTCGTTACTCCGCGTGGCTGCCAGGCTGAACTTCTTGACGTGCGTGTTCTTCTCCATGGATTTGGCGAAGTCCTTCAGCGTGGGAATCGGAATGTTCTGGAAAAGCAGACAAAGACACTGCCATTGGTCCGGGGACTGACCAGCATATACATACACGCACGTTTCTACATACCTTAATGTTGTTAAGGTTGACCTCTGTTAAGGTGCTGTCATTGCTTTTCACCCTCTGCAGAGTGTCTTCTACGTTAGTGGGATTGGGAGGCTCATCGAACACTGGGTTCATCTTCTCCCCTTTTACCACATCTAAGACACAAACGCAAGTGTAGGTCAGCAGATTTTTCTCTTCCGAATAGTTGAGTTAACTGGGATAAATTACGTTTAATACTCACTGTTGTAACCCTCTTTACTTCCTGTTCCATCATATGTCTGACTACTGGTAACCAGTGTGTGAACACCCAGGATCGCTGCGAACGAAAGCAGACGGTATTTTCAGTGACTGAGGCTAAGACCACAGACCAGAACATACATGGATACATGTATGCATGCATGTTCTCCAGTGTGGACAAAAGTAACCAATTCTAAATGGCATAGCAGGCCACTGGTGTGATTTTGCTCAATGCCCTTTTTATTCCCCCCATCAAGACACACAGTAAAGGAGTGAAAAGAGCTTGTGTTTTATTGTCCCAGCACAGACTGAGCCCAGAGAAAGTTCCCACCACTACAATACAGCCTTGTCTTCAATCACACCCACTTAAACACTTGTGTTTTTGAAGCCTTTCCACAAAGACTCTCTGAAGTATTTTCTCATTCTTACCTGCGAGATCACACAGCTCCGTATCCGTGGCACTGGAGAGCGCTTCCTCCAATTCTGGATCAAGGGTCGTGACCTCCTCCTTACGTGTTTCTATTGGCTTTTGCTTAGGAACAAACACTTTACCTGTGGGCAAACAAAGAGAACACTTCAGTCAAATTTCAAAGGAGTCGAGTAAAAACAGATACTTTTCTATTTAAAAACAAAACAAACACATAACTGTTAATAAACTCCCTTAGACCTACTTACTTTTTACTTTAACATCAAGTTTTGGGACCATGGATGATGTATCACAGTCTCATTTTAGGCCATTTCTACACAATTCCTTGCAGCATATTAAGCTTCATTTAAGAGCAACTACGGTAGTTACACTGACACTGACTGTCACTAAAGGATTTTAAATTGCGAATTACTTTTTAAACTGGTTACATTTCTTACAAGAGGTTAAGTGTGCACAAGACTCGCTCAACTTGGACCGCATTGACAGTTACAGTATTGCCATGGTAACCCATCAGAGGGAAGAAACGGAAAGCACAAAGGAAGTCATGGAACAATGACTTGAGTCTAATCTAAACTGCACTGCTGGGGCAACCAAACACTTGCACTGGGCAGAGAGACCATCCAGTGGGTGCCATTTGTTGCCTCTCCATTTGCCCGTCTTCTTAAACAAAAACACCCCGGGAACAGCCCTTCATTTCCCCCCCTCCCCCTCCTAAATAAGTCAAGCTGCTCAAATTGCTCAAACCGGTCCCTAGTGGGGTGCACTGGCACTTCCTGAAAGCCAACAAACATTAAATACAGTCATCAGGCAGCATCCTTTGCCAGTCCCTCTGGAGCGAAATTCAACTCGCCAGAAACAAGGAAAAACCAGGGCCATAGAACGACGGATTTAAAACTGGATTTAAAAACTCAAAAGGCATTCACATGGACTGTACATAAAAGATGACGATAGTAATGTATACGTGCCTCAAAAAAAAAAAAGAAGGAAGAAGAAATAAAATCTTTGGCTCAAATCGATTCTCATTCAAAAAGCTTCTCCCATGAAATACTAGATTCTAGCAGTAACTTATCTAATAGGTGTCAAAGGGAGGCATGTTTCTCCAATCAGGTTTCAATTGTAACTTAAAGCAGAAGGCACCGTCTTCGTGCACTAATCTGTTTTTGCATTGTTAAAAAATCTCAACATCTACAAATGAGCAGTTTATCACTATCACCGTTTACAAATGAAAACTTTATTTACTAACTCAAAGTTAACATCACAGATACAGCAGGTAAGGTTAGGTCAACTGAAGCTGCAAACCAGTTTTTCCACCATCGCCAGCATTTACAGCAAACCGCAGGCTTTTGTTATCTCTTCCAAATGATTCTGATCATGTGGCTTTGCTCACCACATAACCAGGTAACAGTAACCAACACGGAGAGGTAATTACAGAACATGAGCAAAAACAGTACAAAACATGTATACCTACTAATAAATATAGGAAATCTTTGGACGTCTGTCCATCTGTTTTCAGCTATTCAATTCGCTCTTGTTATTTGGGTGCGTAAGGCTAACCCAGGTTACACATTGTACTAGTGTGTATTCAACCAGAATAATTAAACTAACTGAACTATTATCATGAACAGTGAATTTGTAGTAATAGGCTTAGTTGACTTGCAGTATCACATCAGTATAGCTTTGTTACATGGACGCTTAAAGCCATATGCTTCAACTCTGAAAGCAATTCATGAGAAAAACTGAGCACTGTGAGCATGTGGAACACATCTGCTGTGTGTTTGTATTTTCCTTGGTGCAACAGTAACGCCCTCCACTGTAACCTAAGCAAACAAAATGCTTATCAGGCTTCTATCGATCACACATCTTCGCCGCTCCACAGTGTAGCGCTTTACACTTTCGCCTAACAACTGAATAGTCCATGCTTCACTCCCAGGAGGTGGCACAAATAACTTTGGAGTTGCGTCAGGAAGGGCATCCGGTGTAAAAATCTGCCAAATCAAAAGTGCGGAGCTCTACACTGTTACAAAAGCCAACCCTCTAAACCAAATAACCAGTTGTCTAAACACATTTACTAAATCTAGCCATCATTTACCAATATCATAAACACATGTCACATGAAGACACAATTCACAGAACACAATCCTCCGTTGTCATAAATCTAAACACATCTTTCCTTGCTAAAACACAAGCTGCAAAAGAACTCTGCTCATATTCTCAAATGAAAGCTCATGTGATGCAACATGCTTGCCACAGTCAGCAATATTTGAACACAATGACCTGGCGTCATTCATTACACACAACGACTCAAAATTGAAGACACCTGTTGCTAATGCTCTGACCACATGTATAAAAGCAAGTTCAGAGTGCACAGTATGCTGAAGATTCCAAACAAACACAACGGATGAAGGCAGAGTCAGGGGAAGAGGAATTCGATGCAGAGGAGGGAGAAGAGCTGGCCCTGGAAGAAGAGGAGCAGGCCAACAAGGAAGAGGAGTTCAAATGAGAGGAGGAAGAGGAGCAGGCCAACGAGGAAGAGGAGTTCAAATGAGAGGAGGAAGAGGAGCAGGACAACGAGGAAGAGGAGGAGGCCAACATGGGAGAGGAGAAGGTCCAGGGGGGAGAGCAAGACAACCTCGCGCCATCATTACGGACGAGATGCGAGCAACAGTCATTGACCATGTCATTGTCCATGGCATGACAATGGCTGAAGCAGGACTAAGAGTCCATCCACACCTGAGTAGGTTCACCGTGGCCACCATTATCAGGGCATTCAGACAACACAACAGGTATTGAACTCTATTGCTTTCTCTGTCACAATACAGTTTTACAAACCTGTGAAAGTAGTCTATTGGTTTCAAATCAGTTGTGACTGTATTGTAACACATGTCAATTGACAACACGTGTTTCTTTCTGTAGAGTTGAAAGAATGCCACATAGAGGTGGGAGGGTTGCTATATTTACAGCGGCACAAGAAACCCTCATTGCGGATATGGTTCGTGGGAACAACCTCATCAGACTCTGGGGGATCAGAGACAAAGTCATTGCCGATAATGTCAACTTTGAGAGCACTGACGATGTCAGCTTGGCCACAATAGACCAAGTTCTCCGGCACCAAAAGACACAGATGAAACAGGTCTATAGGGTTCCCTTTGAGCGCAACTCTGCGCGACACAAAGACCTACGTTACGAGTATGTGCAAGTAAGTTTACATCCATGTTCACAGTACAGTTAGTGGACATACTGTGTTGCTCAGTGGCCTACATTACTTCTGCACAATACTGTGCATTAGTAATGCACAGTATTACAGTATTACTAATGCAACGTCTCTTCACCTTCCTAGAGGAGCTAAAGGACATCCTCCTGGACCACCACCAACACCATCCTAGGCCCGCACATCACATTGATGTGATCATTTGGGACAATGTCCGCTTCTACAGAACAAACCAAATCAGAGAGTGGTTCACCACCAACAGTGACCACTTTTTAAACGTCTGTCTGCCACCTTACTTCCCTTTCCTGAACCCTATAGAGGAGTTCTTCTCATCGTGGAGATGGAAGGTTTATGACAGACAACCATACACAAGAGAGAACCTCCTAAGGGCAATGGAGCTGGCCTGTGTTGACATCCCAGCGGAGGCCTTCCAAAGATGGATTTGCCATTCCAGGGCGTTTTTCCCGCGGTGCCTGGCAAGAGACAATATAGCCTGCGATGTGGGTGAGGTGATGTGGCCCAATGCAGCTCAGCGACATGATGCCGCACAGTGATTGTGGTGTGAATAATGTAAATTAAAAAAAACTTCACACCCTGATCATGTTTTCAAGAGTACTGTTGTGTGCAATAGATTCTGTTTTTGCATTGAGTTGTGTTACAGTAGTGTACGTACATGCAGGATTTCCTATAGATTTATACTCTTCATATGAAACACAAATCTAAATGCCTAATCCTCTGCAGAGATCTACGACGATCCGTTACTGTATAGTTTCTAAAAATATGCATTGGCAGTTATGAAACAAAGAACCTTCTCACAAATTGAGCATTGTGTTTTTAATTGTTTTGCTGTAGTGTGTAATGATGTGTATAGTGTTTACATTTTTGAAAGCTTCAAGCTGCTCTTTTGTTGTGAAAGTTTGAGTTTTGCAGTGGGAAGGTGTGGTTGTGTTTATGTAGCTTTAGAAAAGGGTGTTGTGTTTAGACATTGGGGAACATGGTGGAAACATTTGTGAAATGTCTTTTAGCATTTGAGAAAAACTGTAATAAGGGAGCAGCTAAAAGTAGCTTCATCGATCATACATCATCTGCTCGTTATCTACAGATAACACATCTTAGACAGAGGAATAAACAACAGAAAAGATGGATAATGGAGAAGCGACAAAAACAACTACAACAAATTCAGCTGCGAGAGGGTTAAAAATGGTTACCATGGAGTCACACTGAGTGTTTTTCTCAGAAATTATGTGAAGTTTGAAACTAGAGACATAAACACTCATGACCACATTAGTTATCAGCAGGGGGTGAGTCTAACAATGAAAAGAGAATCAGCTGCATTCCACAAAACCACAGTGATGTGAGTTTTCCATGTTGTCACTGCAAACACACACACACGCACACACTAATTTCCTAAGAGGCCATGGACATCAGTCCATGTTTCCTCTCTGGTGAGGGAGTAGCTTTCAGATTCCTATCTGTGGAGATCCCGACAAAAGGAACTGCTTCATCTCATAAAAACGTTCCTACTTTTCCCACTGAGGTTTCTACTCTACTCACTCGTCTGCATTTCTGGCTTTTTGCCACATAAAGAATTTCACCTTTTGCTTTCTCTAAGAGGTGGATAAGAGTGTCACAAGTATGTCACAAAACCCATCAGAACAAGTTTCACACGGAAAGATTAGGATATATCAGTCTGACATTAAACCCATACGGTTTGGCAGACAATCATACTACTATGCTGTGAGTTCAAGCACAGTACATACTATATAGAGTATAATATATACTATACTCTATGTAGTATACTTCAGGCCAACATGGTTCAAAAATATGTTTCAGGCTTGCATATAAATAAACATATCTATTAAAAGCATCAATTAAAACATAGTTTCAAAATGTAAAATCCTTCCTCCCTTCTTTAGTATTAGCACACCCTCCCAACACTGCTCTATGCTGAGCAGACATGCTTATATGTAAGTGCAAGCATGTCTTAATAATATCTGCAAACACAGGTGAAGAGTAATTACTGCTAGGTCTGCAGGTGCACCCTGAATCTCCATCCCCCGAGTAATACAGCACTAACATGTAATAGCACCTTGTTGCCGGTGTTATTGGTGATTAGTTGGTCGCGCTGTCGAGAAAAAAGCAAAAAAAAAAACAACCCACCTTTTTTCTCTCCAGTGAAAGGCACTATATCGTCTCTGTCCTTATACTCCATGGCTTCCTTCTCCAGGTATTTGAGCAGACGTTCTCTGTCGAACGGTCCACTAGCTGTCTTAGACGTCTGGTCTTTTTGACGTAAACCCGCTGGGAGAAGAGCATTCTGGGAACAAGACATGGAGCCACATTAGAGCTTAAGACCTCAGTGCACTTATGCACCGTAATGAAGCCGCAGCACAACTCCTTGACCAGACTTTCATCAAATCCATTTAAGCAGGCTTTAAAAGCCTTTTCCACACATTGAAAAAGTTGCACAATCCAAGCTAAACAATATTTGGCACCATTTGTTAGAAAAAAGAACAAAAAACATTTCTGCTAGTGTATCCTCTGCATCTTCCGGCCTCTGTGTTAGTTGCCAGAAGCAGGAGTTTGACAGTCACATGAGAAATTAAAACATGAAATACAAGCTGCTCAAAAAGGAAGTAAAAGAATACTTTAAAACCAGTTGAACTTGATTAATCCAAAAAATGCAGCTTGTGAATATTTAGTTGTGGGTGAATAAAAAATAAAAAATAAAAACTTGGCAGAGAGCAAACAAGGCCGTGTGTTAATCTATACACACAGCAACAAACAAAATTCAGTGCTTTGTTTTGCATCCACACCAAATGAGATTTCATCTCTTCACCGACATGAGACCCAGAAATGATTATTTTCCCATTGCTGCTGACTGTTTCCTGTGGGCCCCGTGTGGTCGCCATGTAGACCGATTTGCCTCACTGAATGGAAATTAAAGAAAACGTCCAGGGGCTTGGAGGGGATTTCATTACGCTGTACAGCTCTTCTCACAAAGACTTGGCAGCCTGAGCCGCTGCAGCTTTAAATTATTTTCCAAACCATAGAGACTGGAGTGGGAAGTGACTGTCAGAGCACACGAGAAAAAAAACCCACCATTACATGTGAATTAGTGAGGTTAAAGGCATTCCAGGGGGGAAATTTCCCAACCATTAACCTGTCACAACCAGGTCTACTTTGCGCCATTTGGCACTACAACCACAACAAGAGACATAAAGTTGGAAAAACGATTAGTCATTTAACAAATCTAATGACCCACTTGTGTCTGCATAGTGTTTATTTTATTTTATTTTGAGATAAGCCAATAAATCCCTTTCAATAAATCCTTTCTCTAAATGAACTTCCTCCCACTGAGGAGCCCTGGAGCTCCTCCAACCTGCATCGAGCCCTGACCTCAGGGTCCATCTCCTCGAGGGCCGTCTCCAGCTGTTTGAGCTCCTCTGCCGACAGTTTGTTGAGGATTTCATCTTCATCGAGATCCTTGTATTTATCCAGATCCTTCTTGTAGGACAACGCCATGGTACCAGCTATAGCTTGCTAAGCAACACCGAACACCAGACCGCAGCCACACTGCTCTTCTCGGGATTACTGCTCCAAACCAGGAAGACACTACCTGAAAACAAGCACACACACACACACACAAATAAATTAGTGATGAGCGCTGGATGGTGCATACATTTCATTTTATTATGCTGACTCACAAAAAGACAATTTTATTTGCATGTCGTTAACTGAGATAAAGATTGTTTATCTTATTGCTGTGAACCAACACTTGATCACAGCTGGGCTGGATAATAAGGCCTTGGGATGATGTAATGATGGGTGAACACACACCCAACACACACAGAGCTGGAACAAAGAACTTTCTCAGGCTTGGACAAAACATCTGACCAATCCCATAAGGATCAACTACAGCTCTTTGCAAATGAAAATTTTGAGAAAGTTTATAAAACACTATCAAGACAGAAGAAGAAATAAAGGAAGCTTTTTCTAAATAAAAATGAGGAAATGCATGTGTCTCTTTGTCTTTTGGGACTGAAAGGCTGAGCATAACATTGCAGTTAAGTTTAAATAAAGCTCAGATAAGCGAAGGAGTTAGTGACTGAGTGTGTGTCCTTTCAAATAAAATCAAGAGGCAGTTTCCTCTCCCACGCCACAGTCCGAACACAGAGCGACCTCGTGATTTTCCAAACTCCCTGCAGGACTCCACGGATGCTACTTCTCCAAATAATTGGTGTACACTTTTGGAAACACACTTAAACTTGTATTCTTTTAAAACAACTGATTTTTGTCACAGTGAAAAGAAAAAACAGTTGTGCCCCTCTTCTGCAAGAAAAGCAACTGTGCATGTAAGTGTATATTTAGAACAGACATTCTTTCGTGGCTGCTCCAGTAGTGTAAAAGCAAATAAACCAAGGAACCTCATTGCAGTTGTTACCTATAGATTAGTGCCACATCCATTATTACATTCTGACCGGATTCTCAAGTTTGTAATAAGAATTTATGACTGTCACTTTCCAAAAATATTACAGCAAACTCCTGGTAACCAGAAAAATGTTTGCAGTTGTACTAACCAACAGTCATCCTGATGTTGAATGCGCAACACACTCAACTGTACATGTCGCCCAGTGGGAGGCAACCTGCCTCCAGACAATCGCAGTGTGACTCAGACTGTAATCACTATCAGGCTGGTGAAGGTTTGCAAATAATTGCTCATGCAACCAATCGGAGTCAATCTGTGCCAGTGATACGACTCGTCTCTGATGCTTCTCTTTGCAATCGAAGACTCGACTCTCTGGTTGCTAGCTGTTTGCACTCTGATTCTTTTCTTAAATAAACATAAGGCTGCTGAGTTCCTTTGTGATTTTACAATTAAATTGCCACTCTGCAGTAACAATGTCACTACTTGTGGAGGAATTTCTGCTTTTGAAGTTCTGGCTGGACTCTGAATGTCAGGACCAAATGTAAATTTTAATTACCAGCTAGCTGGCATTTAATTGCAGACTGACAACAGACTGTCGCCATCTTATTGCTATTATTATTGCCATCTTGATGCACCAAAGTCAGCCTGGGGACAGCTGAGTGTGAGTGGTCTCAGACTGGGTCCCCCTTCTTCAAAGTAACAATTTCAAAGGTAACACAGGATGTTTTCCAACCTCTGTTTTCCCTTGTGTAACTGAGCACTACAGAAAAAGAACAAGTGCGTGCACATTCAAAGAAATGATTTAGTTGCCACAAAAAAAAAAAAAAAAAAAAAAAAAAAAAAAAAAAATTGTAATAAACATTGTGATTCAAATGTTGCTGCTTTTGTACGTTTTAAGGATCAAACTAACACTTGGAGCCAAATCATTTACAGACACTACCACGTCTTTTGTTTTATAACAATTTAGCCAAAAGTCGAGCCTGCCAGAAATATTCATTTCATTTGTTTAACATAACAGATTTTGTTTTGTTTGAGAAAATTAAAAAATCTTCATTGAAATATTTTAAAATCTTTCATCTCCTTGTCACACTATTGATGAAGATTTAGTCAATGCAATGTGCTCCCCGTTGCTGTCTGGCTAGTTTCTCCAATCAAGGGAATTCCCGAGGAGTCCAACAAGGCCGGTGTCTCTCACACCATTCAGTTCATTGTCTCAACAATCCAGGCTCTGTCCTCATCTAATTTCCCCCCCCATCTCCTCCATTACTGTGCTACGGCTACACACATTTATTTCTGAAATGACTGCAATAGTCATTGCACGGGCATTCACAAGTGTGAGTTCCAGCAGATGAAGCTCAAATGTCTTCAATGATGACTGGAAAATCTAAGCTCACAAATGTAATAATCTACACTTACACTGTTATCTTGTTCAATTATATGCTAATCAAGCCTATCACTGCTAACAGTAAGGTGTTGAAGTCGTCATGCAAGTTTATAATTTCATTTTTACAAATTAAACACCTACGGAAGAAAATCCAAGAAACTGCATGAGAGGAAAACAGTACTTTTGTTGAACACAGTCTACCTTTTAGATTTTATGTCACAGGACAGGAAAAAAAAAATCCCATGCATCCAAATCATATGAAAATCACACTGCATGCTCCAAATACCACAACAGTCGCCTGGCCTGCGATCATGGAATGGCACTAGGATACGTTTCTCGTGACATCATCACAAGCTTTAGCTCATTCTGGAGGAGGAGGGTTATTGTGCATTTTTATGATCAACACCGAGTGTGGGGGAAACAGGCATTTCTGTGGCTGGGAGTATAACCTGATTTTATGGCTTTGCAGATGTCTTTCCTTTTACTTGTTCTGGAATCCTAACACTATTTATCCAGCTTTCTCTCACTTTCCACTTCACTGACAGATTATTGAACACATTAGAAAAAAGACAGACAGAAAAGAAATGGAGCACGGAGACAGAGATAATGATAACAATAGGTTAGCTCAGGCCGAGCTGGAGACACTGGAAGGATCCATTAGTCCAATCTGACTGATTCCTTTCTCCTTCACCTCCTCGTCTGCTAATCCTTCAAGAGAACAACAGATGGCTCAAGGCCAACAACACTGCAAACCTGCCTGCATGCTACACTCGCCTGTCCACTCAGGCTACACACAGACCCATATAAATATAACAAGCGCTTTGGGTGCCTTGAAAAGCGCTATATAAATCCAATCCATTATTATTATTATTATTAATGTAAATTCACCTGGAGGTCTCCCCCCCTGCAGGAGACATCTGCAAAGTTAAACTAAAGTTTTATTCTTGAGAATCTGTATCACTTCAACCAAAGTTTCATGGGAACTACTCTGTGCTCCAATTTTACAGCAAGAGTAGTGGCCCCATTCTTCAGGATATTATTAAGTAAGACAAATGGAGAGAGTGCAATGTAAAATATCCGGTTCTACCTTTAGCATTATCTCAGTTTCAGGCCAAATGTGGGGCACTATCCTCTTTCCAAAAGTGACAGCGTCTGATATCTAATTGCGTACCTGCTGTGATACGTTATTAGACACCACCCCAGATATGCCTAGAGTAAATGCTATAACCTGATGGGAGCTACAAGAAAACATTAAGTTCATCTCAGTCAAGCGTAATTCTTGCCACAATGGGTTTGATCTCAGCAGGCAGAAGCTGCACAAATAGTAATTTGCAGCCTAAAGATGAACAGGAAGCACTGACTGGTATTGCATTATTACAGAACACCACCCTAACTGCAGCACAAAAAGACTATAGTTAGAATGACCCAGCTATGCTACTCATGGGAGACAACTCTGTACTTCCACCTCCCACCTACTCTCCTCCAGTTTTACGCTCTGCTGTTCCTCTCTCCACCCTGCTGTTACTCACTTTGTGTGTGTGTGTGTGTGTGTGTGTGTGTGTGTTCAGTCTCTCCAGGTGCCTGAAAGTGTTTGAAATGATAGAAAACAGATGGAACAGAGAGAAAACAGAGAGGCTTGATCACACTGATACTGAAATATTACTATGCATATTAAAGTGAAAACAGTCATTGATATAGGAGTCAGGAAAAGGAGAAAAGTGTTTGAAATATGATACTGCCAGGGTAATAGTTTCATTTTTATTTAATAGCTAAAAAGCTAAGTCATAAAAACAAAACTTTGCACTCACACAATGTTTCCTAACAGCTCCTTTACAAAGCGGACAAGGGTGAGACAGGAAGTGGGGTGGTACTCTAACAACCATACACGATTTGTGTATTCCCTCTGACCTGCCCGCACACTCCAGACACACCACATTATTATATAATGAGAACGGATTCAAGGAGTGGCCTAGCCTTCAGCTCACGGGGGGGCTAGGGTATGAATACAGGCTCAAGAAAACTCATCACTTCTTTGTAAAAACTAAAGCCACCATTCACTACCATGGCTCAGAGCCAGGTTTCACCCTTCAGTGAAAGGTATGCGGGGTAAACAAAACCTATTTGAGAAGCCAGTTTATCTGCAATACTGCAGTGGTGGCAGTTCAAGAAAAAAAAAAGAAAAAAAGAAAAGTCAATTCAGCAACCACCACAACATTATTATTTGGCTACAAAGCATGACTCTCAGATCCAGGAAGGAGGCCTCCTGCCCTGGGGCTTAAAGGCAAAAAACCACAAGTACCCAAGCTGACGTCTTGGGCCACACCCTTCATTCACCACTGAGTCCTGCTTGGTGAAACTACCATTGTGAACACACCAATAAACCCTCACGCTAAATCTTGAGCAAAGAATGTGTCAGAATACTTGCGACACAGGTAAAATGACTTTGCACTTTGATGACAAGAAGTACAAAGTCTTCCCTTAACCTCTAACAATGGTGTGAGCCATCCCACCAAAGGTATGTCCTTTAAAAAACACAAAAACAAACAACTCTTGTCTCGGTCAAATAGAGAAACACAGGCACTATTCATACCGCGTTTCTAATTATTTGTCTGGCTAGCAGGGATGGGCAGCTCACATTATATTGGACCTACATTCTGCATAGCATTAGCAATAATCATACATACAGAAGAGAGAAGACCCGGGTTAATCTGCAGTTATACCACACAGCACTACTAACATAATAAATATCAAATATGCTACTTTTGGTGAAAACTTAGCTGGTCTCATCTTCTGGAGACACAGCGGGTTACGGAATGGCGTTAGCTAACCCGTTCTTGACATGTTTATGATTACCACGCTGACAGCAGCCATAATGATTGTAATTATCACCGCCTAGCAAAATCCGCCACACTTCAGTTCAAGCCAGAACAAGCGGTTCATGGGGCACTTGCTCTGCTAACTTAGCTGCACGTATCGGACGGACACTACCATGGAAAACAGTCCGATGAAATGTAGAAGCTAACGCGCTAACCTTTGCAGTTCACTCAAGTTGCTAGCCGTTTAGCAGCCACAGTGAACATACTACAAATGACAGCAGGCAAAGCTATACAGTTGTTCGTGATGAGTGATTTCCAACCTCAAACAGTCGTCTATTTCCTTACCTGAGGCTGATGGGACCTAGCTAGGGAATGTCCAAATAGCACCAGTCTTCCCAATGCGATGTCTTCTGTGCTTGACTCCTCACTCAGGGTAAGGGCGGTAACACAGGAAAAGGGAACCGAACAGTATATGAGTAACGTCTGGTTAAACGAATAGGATGGTAGTATCCCAAGCCTCAACCAATGGCACTAATAAACCCGCCCTTTCTCCTACAAGAGACCAATCATATGAAATATGGAGGAGGCAAACTGAAATAAAATAATAAATAGAGTAAAATAAAATAAAACAAAGTAACATAAAATTTCTCTATTTAAACAAAAATATATTTAAAAATGAAATAAAAAAGAGGTATTATTTTGACCAAATTTGGACAAGAATTGAAATGAACTGAGACGCTGAGATAAGCTTTGGATGATTGCCACTGCTACTCATCATGATAATTAAATATGACGTCTTTACATTAAATGAGTAAACTCCACCATGTGTTGCAGACTTTAAGGGCATGTTCATTTAAGATGAAATTCTACTAGGCTGCATTTAGAATCATATTAGTATATTATACTTACTATTCTATATTTTATCATTTATTGTCACTGTTCCACTAATATTAGATTTTGATGCAAATCAAACTCTCTCTCTTTCTTTTATGCAAACACAAGCATTTGCACAAAGCTTACACTGTGTACCAGGGCTGGACTGGGACAAAAAATCGGGCATTTTGACTAGAGACCGGCCCACCAGAAAAGCTATAAAGCCTTTGAATGAAAAGTGTGGTGCTGTGGCTCCAGCAAACATCAGCTGATACTAGAAAGTAATATTAAATAAATTCACAATAACAACAGCTTATCAAGCTTAAACGTGCTGCTGTTGTACAGCGGACACCCGCTGTTTTCCTCTGTCTTGCGCAAAGTGAGCGATAAACAAACAAGGGAGACGGGACTTGCGACAGAAAAGCCAATCAGCTTATCATTGATCAGTTTCATGATTGAAGTAACAACAGGAGAGGGAGGGGGAGAGGGTGAGAGAAGAAGAGATAGCTGTGCAAAGATACAGAATAACTCCAACTTTGTCTTTGTCTGATTGTCTGGGCGTCATAGCGGAGGCAAGTGATGTCCAGATAAACTACATCTAAGAACCCAAAGGAAGGAGGCAGCAGCAGGTCTCTCTCTTAAGCATGTATTTTCACTGAATGGTCTTTTCGGTCTGCCAGTGTGTCATGCACTTTTCATGATTAAAGACCTTAGCAAAGAAAAAAAAAAGTTGCCGGCTCCAGCTCCTTCGTATCAATATTATTTTTCAGACAGTTTCCCCACGGCTCCACCAATCAGCTCATCTGGATCTGGAGTTTACCTGCATACATCCCATTCACTCTGTCAGTTTTTTCACACTTACTGCTGTTGAGGAAAAACTACACTAAAAGCCATACCTTGCTCAATTGTTTGTACCTTCTTGGCTCACATAAAACTGTACACGCAGTTTTATAAGATGCCTTGTCTGTAACACAAAAACTTCAGCAAAAGATGAGGGTGCTGAGACATGCCTCGGTTCCCTATTTGCTAAAGCTGTTAAGATAAACAGCTCAAGAATTTGAGCTGCACTGAGGCGCAGAGAGAAACATGGCTTTTAATGCAATCAGTTTTTCTTCATTCATCAACACATGCCTGAGAGAGGGTTACCGTAACTGGTGTCAGAGCACTTGGCTGTCGTTATGATTTGCTCCAGTGGTGTCAGACATGAGCGCCTTCCTCTAAAAAACAAAACAATGCAGGGTGGAGCAGGTTTCACATGGATTTTTGCACAGATGTTATCTGAGAGGAAAATAAGCCTCACTGCTTTAGCATCTGGTAATAAACAAAGGTTAATAAAGGCTTACAGATGCTGTCAGGTGGCTCCCAGCACTGACACTGACACAATTCAACCAGTATAGCCAGAAAAAAAACGAAAGACAAACCAGCTGGTAAAATGCACATTCAAACTTAAGCCATAACTAAACACCACTGTAATATTCCTACCAGTGTTTTTGATGCATTCATGAATTCATCAGTCGTTATAGCTCTCCACAGCATCACAACGCCTGCTGTTATAAAGTGAACAATAGCGTCCAGTGTCACACAGCTGCTATTCCCACACACAAAGCCACATTATATGTGTGCCATTGCAGAATTTATTACAGGCAAAGGAAAGTATTTAAAAAGGCTACAGAACAAAGAAAGGAGACCATAAAACACTCCGAATAGCCAGGTTTAAATTTAACCAGACTTTGCTATCTATGTACACGTTTAAAATAAATTACACCCTTTCCTTCTGTTATATCACTGCCTACTTATATATATATATATATATATATATATATATATATATATATATATATATATAATATATATATATATATATATATATATATATATATATATACGGGGAGAGAGGGGGGGGAGAGGGGAGAGACATAACGATGTTTTCATAAAAGTATATATAAACGAATATTCTTTGGTTAGAAGCTAAGCAGGTGTTGTGTCTCCCCCTGGCGGTTGACTAGATTTATTACATCACTTAAGCTCAGCTTGACCCGGATCCAAAATCCTTAAACCCAGTGATTATATCCTGTAGGTCACGTTTTACTACAGTTTGGAAGAAATGGCGGACATGGATGAATTGTTCGGGAGCGATGGGGACAGCGACAACGACCAGCGAGGTAATGTTGCCCGAAACTCGTGGCTTATATTGTTTAATCATCAGTTTGTGCATTTAGATGAGTGCCGCGTTGTGCGCAGCTGCGTAGCAGAGGGGAGCTTTAACGCGAGAGTGAGGTGTGGAACGTTTCGCGGATGTTCGTTATATCGAGGCAGGCGTTAATAATGTTAATGTGTTTTAAACGTTGGCTTTAATGGAAACCATCGTGGAGTTCTTTTATCCTTCACCTAGTTTCACTTTTCTTTTTCTTTCTTATTTTCTTTTTCCTTTTAAAAAAAAAAATCGGTTTTCAGTGTTTGGATTCACGTGATGTGTCTGAGACGGAGGGCCATGGCTTAAGTTGTTTTGTTGCTGTGGTGCAGGATGTGATCAGCGCTCATGTTTTTTTTTAGCAGCACGACTGCAAATATACATTTTAAGACCTTAAAAAAACTTAATTCCCTTATGTCAAAATTAGAATTGTCTTCACGCACAAACTGGTGCAGCACCTAAGTTCACCTACATAATCTTTAATTTCCACAGACTTGCTACTAAAATGATTTTTACAGAAAGAAGAACAGTACGAGAAAACCGTATGACACTGTGTATTTCAGTACTCACTGTTGATACAGCCGTACATAAATAATATTGTGATTGCATCAGATAATCCCATACAAACAATTGTCAGATATAACAGTATTTATTCAAAAAAGGTCTAAATATAATAATATGGGTATTATTCAGAGACATAAATATATTATGTCTGTATGAGACAAAGTGTGGAAAACCATCAAAGCACTTTGTTGTGTTGATGCTGAAATCTTCTAAAAAGTCTACAAAAAGGAGCTAACTGATATCATCTTTGCTTCTTTTTGTCCAAAAGTAGTTGATAATTGGAAGCTTTTTCTGGCATCACTCGTTTTTTCCATAGGAATACTGTGATTTTGTACCCCAAAGAGACTTAAGGTGGTTATAAATAAATAAATATTATTTCTTTTAAACAGGATTGCCCCCAGCCCTGCTTTGTTTGAACAAAACACTGGTATATGGAGAGTATGAGGATTTAAACAAGCTGAGCTTCACCTTTTTAGTCACACATTTGTAATGTGAGAGGAGTGAGTAACATCTGTTTGGCACTACAAACTAGAATAAATCGGACTGCTTTATCTCTTTGCAGAGTCTGGCTCCGGCTCTGGTTCAGAGTCGGAGCAGGAGAGGCCTCGTTCTGTCAGCAACGCTTCAGGCAGCGGCAGTGACAGCGAGAGGGAGCGGGATGATGATGATGACGAGTACGAAGGCCAGGAGGCCGGCAAGCCCAGCATGAATAAGGTGCATTTTGCAGACATCGTTCAGACAGCCGCCTAATCAGTCGTTCAGCTGTGAATTTAGCCACTGAAAATACTGCTTCAACTTCCACAGTGACCTCAGAGAATTGTATTCCTTTTGTAATGTTAATCTTGCATTGACTTGAGTTAATAAACTTTCAACCTACCTCAAACCATCTAGTATGTTTATCCCACAATGAAGGTGTCCTGTGTCTGCAGTAGGACTGAGGCGTGCGTGTGTGTCTGTGTGACGATACAGTCATGAGCTGCATCTAAACGTACTCATGTGTCTTCTCCGTAACAGGAGCTGTTTGGAGACGACAGTGAGGATGAACAACACAGCGGAAGCGACAACCAGTCTGAGCGCTCGGGGAACCAGTCAGATGCCAGCATGCGCTCAGACCGCGGGGACAACGATCACTCCGACGCAGAGCAGCACAGCGGCTCGGACCGTGACCATCGAGATGAGGATGAAGACGAGGAGGATGGGGGTCACCGGTCGGACGGAGGAAGCCCGGCTGGCAGCGGGATGTCTGGCGGTGGGAGCCCTCGATCTGACAGGGGCAGCGTTCGCTCAGACAGAAGGTACGACGTCTCACACAGGCTGCAGCTCACCGTTGTTTAACTGAGGTCGTTGATGGCACGGAGATCGGGATGCTAAAATATATCTTTTCCAGTTTGAGAAACGCAATCAGGTCTTTGATCTGTCATAAGGAAGTGGATGGGGGATTAAGTGACTTCCAGAGGAATAAAAATCAGAATATATGTTTACCGTGTTTGTTCTTATTCAGTATGCACAGCGATCCTGGGACTCCGCAGTCGGGCCCGGGCACACCGCACAGTGACGGCGAAGCTTCAGGGAGGGAGAACCAATCGGAAGATGAGAAGTGGGGCGGAGAAGCTAAGAGCGACCAGTCGGAGGACGAGGAGGAGAAACGCCACTACTCTGACGAAGAGGGAGAAAATTCTGATGATGAGGGACCAAGGAACAGGAAATCAGGTACAACCCCCAGGATCTGCCGCTGAGCCAGCCTCCAGGGTTAATCTTTTTACACAGTAAATTTCATGGATTGGGGCCATATGTGAACATTTTATCCCGAGCTTAAAACTCAG